AGACTGATCAATACCTCCATAACTTCAGTGTGGTTAGCTATGAATCTTCCAAAACTTCCAAACACCTTGTCCTGGACATAGTTTCTACAGTAAACTGTGCAACAGTACAGTCGGCCCACACGAACTGCAGAACACCGGGGCTTTGGGAACACTCAAATTATTTAATTCCCATTTAAAATCAGGAGACTAAATACGAACATTATATGCAGACACAGACGAGGTTCAGAAACACAGACACATTAGAAAACAGAGCATTAAGGCAACAAAATCTAGCTTGATGGATGCTGTCAAAACTCAACTATATACAATAACATGTGTGTGTGTGTGTGTGTGTGTGTGTGTGTGTGTGTGTGTGTGTGTGTGTGTGTGTGTTGTGTGTGTGGTGTGTGTGTGTGTGTGTGTGTGTGTGTGTGTGTGTGTGTGTGTGTGTGTGTGTGTGTGTGTGTGTGTGTGTGTGTGTGTGTGTGTGTGTGTGTGTGTGAAAGGAAGGCAGAGGATGCCCTCAACAGGCCAGTTAGAGAACTACAACATCTGGAGGAAAATAAGGAACTAAATGGAATGTGTCCGTTTTAGAAAACACATAAAACACAAAAGTCAAGGCACTGAGTCAGGTGTGCCTCACTAGAGAAAAGGAGGCTCTGGACTCCTCACTCACTCAGCCAGTCATATTTACAGAAAACAAATCACACTGCTCTTTTCCCTCCATGTCATTTTAAATAGTGGATTGTGCCTTCGTGCACTCGTGCTTTTTAATTTTTTCGGACAAATGCTTCATATCATTTATCCCCGTCACAGTCCACGGGCACATCGTATCTGTCCCCGGCTGTTTGAAGAGCAAGCATGGGAAACAAAAGACAGCGTTTACCCGTTTGCATCCAGCTAGCCAAGCCTTTGGTGTACCAGCTACGGGAGAAGCCTCGTTGATAACTTTTGTTTTTTCCACGAGCTTGCTGTGATATAGACAAATGGGGTTGGTCCGGTCCAAGGTCTTTAAGCAACCATTTCTCTCCCAAACCTCTCCTTTCAAAAGGATTTGATAACAGTGCTTGGACGGAATTGGGCGAGGACTGAGGTCCGGAGTCTCCGCCTGCACACGCAGCCATCCTCATCAACTACTGTAGTGTCACCTTGGATACGAGTCCAAACTACTCACAGACACACAGGGCGCTGACAGGGCGCCCTATGAGCATCAGATCTGACGACGCTGATTGGCTGAAAGTATGTTTCGGCAGCTTAGTTTACAGATAGCAACAGTCAGCTGCTAGTGGCTGCTGCTGCTCTGGCTGAGGGCTCCTCTCTTAGCGCCCAGACGAGAGAGGGTCATGATACACGCTGCGGCCAGGCAGGAAACATGTGACTTATCAGTAACTTTAGACATCGTAACACAATTTTAAACAAGATTTTATTTTAGATTATACATTTTACTGATACCAACTATATAATATTTACCTTGTTCATTAAAAATAAAAATAAAAAAATATTTATTTTTTAAATATATTTTTTATTTTATTTTTAATGACAATCAAACGTGTGGGAAGAGGGGGGGCGGAGCCTATGGGGCGGAGCCTATGGGGCGGAGCCTATGGGGCGGCCGCCACTGCTTGTGAGGAGTGGTGTTACACTAGGTGTCTCTAAAGGAGAGCATTAGGGCCATGTGTGTGTGTGTGTGTGTGTGTGTGTGTGTGTGTGTGTGTGTGTGTGTGTGTGTGTGTGTGTGCTGGAGGAACCCAGGGATTTGAGCCTCTGCAGACCATTGACATGCACTGAAAGCTAAAGAACACACACACTACAGGAACAGTACCTTGAGGTGCAGCAGCTGGTCCAGGTCTCTCTGCAGTTTGTTCACGGTGCTCTCTGCTTCACTCAGTTTCATCTTCACTGCTCTCAGATCCTCCTCCAGACGACGGCTCTCCTACACACACACACACACACACACACACACACACACACACACACACACACACACACACACACACACACACACACACACACACACACACACACACACACACACACACACACACACACACACACACACACACACACACACACACACACACACACACACACACACACACACACACACACACACACACACACACACACACACAACATTACCAAAAATAAATATAACTAACGACATTAAACAAACAAACAAATCCTGTGTTAAAAGGTAGAAGTCGTGTGGCGCAATGGATGTCGTACAGGTTCAAACCCCACTGCAGTCAGCATGTCGTTGTGTCCCTGAGACACTTCACCCCAAAGTGCTCCTGTGGGGATTGTCCACAGTATTGAGTATGTAAGTCGCTTTGGATAAAAGTGTCTAACAAGTGACATGTAATGTATGTGTGTGTGTGTGTGTGTGTGTGTGTGTGTGTGTGTGTGTGTGTGTGTGTGTGTGTGTGTGTGTTACCTGTGAGGTGCTGCTCAGCTCCTCCTCCAGCTGCACTTCTCTCTCTCGCAGCAGCCTCAGTTCCTCCTGCAGAGATGCTCTCTCTCGCTCGCCCTTCTCCAGCAGCGCCTCGTTCTCCTGCTCCGCCTCGCTGCGAACACTCTGCACACGCTCCCTGAAGCCCTGCTGCAGCTCCCTGCCAATCACAGCGCAGCCTCACACTATTGGAATTAAGTCTCATACAAATGAATTATACATTGAAAAATAAATGTGTCATGTACCTGATACGACTGTGGTTAGGGGGTCTATATACAGGTGAGTTGGGGGTCTATATACAGGTGAGTTGAGGGTCTATATACAGGTGAGTTGAGGGTCTATATACAGGTGAGTTGAGGGTCTATATACAGGTGAGTTGGGGGTCTATATACAGGTGAGTTGGGGGTCTATATACAGGTGAGTTGGGGGTCTATATACAGGTGAGTTGAGGGTCTATATACAGGTGAGTTGAGGGTCTATATACAGGTGAGTTGGGGGTCTATATACAGGTGAGTTGGGGGTCTATATACAGGTGATATGTACCTGATGCGACTGTGGTTGGGGGTCTATATAAAGGTGAGTTGAGGGTCTATATACAGGTGAGTTGGGGGTCTTTCTACAGGTGATATGTACCTGATACGGCTGTGGTTGAGGGTCTCCATGCAGGCGTGCCTCTCGTCCACCTCCCCCACCAGCTGCAGGTTCCTCTGCTCCGCCTGCTCCAGGTCAGCCTTCATCTTGTCCCTCTGCCTGCAGGCCTGCTCCACCTGCACCCTGAGGGGCAAACACTCATCGAGTACTTTGGATGATTCTGCAGTCAAATGTTTAATAAAAGTGTTTCCAGAAAGTTTTTCTAATTCGCTGCCAAACACAGTGTTTCCCTAGAACCTATTCAGGTGGCCCACGCTATTCATGTGTTCGGAGACACACCGGAGTCGAGGATCTGTGGGGTTTATTCTCCCAAAAATATATTACAATTTCCAATTCAGGCATTTAGCAGACGCCTCATTCCAAAGCGACCAATTACAGGGACATTCTCCCTGGAGTAACTGAGTGCCTTACTCAAGGGCACACTAGTAGTGGTGTTCCAGGCGGCATTTGAACCGGCAACCTTCGGATCATCAGCCCACCTCACGATCCATTAGACAGCCAAAAAAAAGAAATCTGGCTTTTTTTCAGATTTCAGATTTTTTTGAAATTCTGGGCCATTGTAGGTAACATTATAGAACCGGGGATTGGAGAGTAAAATGTGCTAAATATAGGATAAGAATCTAATTGACAGGAACGTACTGCAGATGCTGGATCTCGTTCTTGTAGGAGATGAGCGCCGCCTGGTGGATCCCGTTCCCGCTGACCAGCAGCTCGTTGTCCAGAGCCAGAGTGAGATCCACCAGAGAGAGGCGCTCCTCCAGGGAGAAGTCCAGCGTCTGGAGGAAACACAGATATCATAATTCACGTTCACTGAGGAGAGCCTTCAGACTGCTCCATCACACAGAACCCCCTGTTCTTATGTGGAGAACACAATAAGGGTCAAACAGGCCATTATAATGACTTTAGCTAAAGTGCAGAATAACTCTTAGTTAAGTAATAAATCCATTACAAGTCCAGGATTCAATAGGATAACAGACAGTATTAGGTCTAGTTAAAGTCCAGTTTTAAATCCAGTTAAAGACCAGTATTAAGTAGAATAAAAGACAGATTTAAGTTTAGTATAAGTGCTTTCTTAAGTCTAATAAAAGTCCAGTATAAATTCAGTTTTAAGACCGATACAAGACAGTTTAAAAACTAGTAAAAGTCCATTATAAGTCCAGTATGAACCCAGTATAAATCCCCAGTGAGACACGGACCTGCAGGATGTCCCGGCTGTTCCTGATGCCCTCCTCTCTCCACAGGTTGAGCACCCTCTCAGGTCCGGTGCACCCCGAGCCCTCGTCCAGCCGGGTCAGAACCCGCTGCCCCCCCCCGGCTGCCGTCAGCAGGGAGGGGGAGGTGGAGCGGACCGAGCACTCTTCCAGCGCCGCAGCAACCTGCATCAGGAGAGGAGATGTTTAATACATATACAGGGTTCAACGTGAAGATCTGGAGCCGTCCTGCAGGCTTTAAAGTCCATGAAGAACCCAGTATGTAGTTTGATAAAGTCCAGTATCCAGTTTAGTAACAGTCCAGTTGTAGTCTAGTATAGAGTCGAGTAATCAATAACGTTTTAATGCGAAGTTCTGGAGCCGCTCTGCACACAAAGACGCTTCAAAGTCCTCGGGTTGAAACAAGTTTTGATGTGAAGTTCTGAAGGCCATTATTATTGCATTATAAATCCACTAAAGGTCAAGTATTAGATCAGATAAAAGACAGTATTAAGTCCAGTATTCAGTCGAATAAATGACAGTATTAGGCATAGTTAAAGTCCAGTATTCAGTCCATTAAAAGACAGTTTTCAGAGAGGTGGAGCGGACCGAGCGGACCGAGCGGACCGAGCGGACCGAGTGCTCCTCCAGCGCCGCAGCAGCCTGCATCAGGAGAGACGATGTTTAATACATATACAGGTTTCAACGTGAAGATCTAGAGCTGCACACAAAGAGGCTTAAAGTCCTCGGGTTGTACCAAGCGGCTGCTGCAGGGGGGGGCTGTTAATCTGGATTAGCCCACTTTCACTCACAGGACCGACATGCTACTTTAGGGTTTCTGAATTCCTTTTTTTTACAATTTAAAGTTAAATGCAAAAAAAATGTGCATGTTTTCTTATCCTTGCTTTTTATTTTGTTTTTTAGTGTTAAATGCAATTTAAAGTGCTCAGCCATTACCCAGTTTTTGCATTCTTTTTTAAAATTAAATACAATTATTAATTTATTTGGATGAACTCGCTTTGAGTTTTTAATCGATTAATGCAATGTATTAGTATATTTTTACCATTTATTTATTTTTTAAATTTTATATAAAAAAAATGTAGCCCTTTAAAATATATTCTTTTTTTTTTTAATGCAATTTTAAATGTCTTATTGTCTATTATTAGTTTTGGTTGACCAATCACAACAGAGCCGCTCAGCTGACCAATCAGAGCAGCCTGGGCTCTGGTTTCAGGTGAGAGGTGCGTTCAGGGTCACCTGTGAGTAGCAGGTGGTTCTGGTGAGGGCCGTCCTCCTGTCTGTCCTCACCCAGGAGAGCAGCCCACAGCCTGACATCAGACCTGAGGAGCAGTACATGATGCTGTCTGCCTGTCTGTCTCTCACCTACCTGTCTGTCTGTCTGCCTGTCTGTCTCTCACCTACCTGTCTGTCTGTCTGCCTGTCTGTCTGTCTGTCTGTCTCTCATCTGTCTGTCTGTCTGTCTCTCTCTCTCTCTCTGCCTGTCTCCTCACAGCTGTTCTCACAGCTGTTCACACTGATGACAGGCAGCTGCAGCAGAGCCTCCTGATTGGCTGCATTCAGGGACTGCTCGTTAAATCAGAAACTCTCTTCAGTGGAAAAACACTCAGGCCCGTTCTCATTTCAAAGATTTCCCCTCCTCGACTCCTCGACTCCTCGGTCCTCCAGTAGTGACCCGGAAATGAATTTTAGCGCGCCATGTTGAAGGACATCTCATTTCTCTAAATGCACATCGAGGACCGAGCATCGAGCGTGGAGGAGGCTCTCTGGAGGAGCTATAACCGAGGAGACACTGATGGGTCCTCCACGGCTCCTTCGTGGATGCATTTCCGGGAACAGAGATGTTTCAAAGAGTCGTGACGCACGGCCGGACTGATCTCAGCCAATCACAGCTCTGCATGCATCCCCTGGATATTATTTTATTAACTGCTTTCATCGCGACGCGATGTTTCCAGAGAGAACAGCTGTGAGGTCCGTGCAGAAAGCAGAGCAGTGTGTATAATATATATCACTCAGTATAACAGGCCTACTCTCTTTGCTTTAGTTTAGTAGATATCTACAAACAAAGAGTCCAGATGTTTCTAAAACCATTTAGTGGATATATCCAGTCTCTGATAGTGTTACGTTATTATGAGAGTGCTCTCATACTTTAAATTGTATATATATATATATAAATATATAAATATATATATGTGTGTGTGTGTGTGTGTGTGTGTGTGTGTCTGTGTGTGTGTGTGTGTGTGTGTGTGTCTGTGTGTGTGTGTGTGTGTGTGTGTGTGTGTGTGTGTGTGTGTGTGTGTGTGTGTGTGTGTGTATGTCCGCATCTGTAGCCTGTTATTGTCTCATTATACCGCACTGTGAATGAATCAAAGTAAATATAGAAGTGGTCATGAACACATCTGTCCATCAGACAGAGGGCTGCTGTGCCTCCTGTCATCATTAATGGACGTCTCTTTAAAATGACCGCTCAGAGGAGAGGAGTTCTCATTTCTCTAACCGCCTGCTGCTTCCCCTCCTCTCTCCTCGCTTCCCCTCCTCTCTCCTCGGTTCCTCTCTCCTCGGTTCCCCTCCTCTCTCTTTGGCTCCTTGGCTCCTCTCTCCTCGGTTCCTCTCTCCTCGGTTCCCCTCCTCTCTCCTCGGTTCCCCTCCTCTCTCCTCGGTTCCCCTCCTCGGCTCCTCCGCTCGCATCTCCTGTGGGCGGCACTAAGTCTCGAGGATAGGAGTCGAGGATGGGAGTCGAGGAGGGGAGTCGAGGATGGGAGTCGAGGATGGGAGTCGAGGATAGGAGTCGAGGATGGGAGTCGAGGATGGGAGTCGAGGATGGGAGTCGAGGATGGGAGTCGAGGAGGGAGTCGAGGAGGGGAGTCGAGGAGGGGAGTCGAGGATGGGAGTCGAGGATGGGAGTCGAGGATGGGAGTCGAGGATGGGAGTCGAGGATGGGAGTCGAGGATGGGAGTCGAGGATGGGAGTCGAGGAGGGGAGTCGAGGAGGGGAGTCGAGGAGGGGAGTCGAGGATGGGAGTCGAGGATGGAGTCGAGGATGGGAGTCGAGGATGGGAGTCGAGGAGGGGAGTCGAGGATGGGAGTCGAGGATGGGAGTCGAGGATGGGAGTCGAGGAGGGGAGTCGAGGAGGGGAGTCGAGGAGGGGAGTCGAGGATGGGAGTCGAGGATGGGAGTCGAGGATGGGAGTCGAGGATGGGAGTCGAGGATGGGAGTCGAGGAGGGGAGTCGAGGAGGGGAGTCGAGGATGGGAGTCGAGGATGGGAGTCGAGGAGGGGAGTCGAGGAGGGGAGTCGAGGAGGGGAGTCGAGGATGGGAGTCGAGGATGGGAGTCGAGGATGGGAGTCGAGGATGGGAGTCGAGGATGGGAGTCGAGGATGGGAGTCGAGGATGGGAGTCGAGGATGGGAGTCGAGGATGGGAGTCGAGGATGGGAGTCGAGGATGGGAGTCGAGGATGGGAGTCGAGGATGGGAGTCGAGGAGGGGAGTCGAGGATGGGAGTCGAGGATGGGAGTCGAGGATGGGAGTCGAGGATGGGAGTCGAGGAGGGGAGTCGAGGATGGGAGTCGAGGAGGGGAGTCGAGGATGGGAGTCGAGGAGGGGAGTCGAGGAGGGGAGTCGAGGAGGGGAGTCGAGGATGGGAGTTAGAGAAGTGAGAAAGTGCCTCAGAGTTTTTATATTTTTCTGTATTTATTTGGTTCAGTTTAGAATCTGACGATGAAGAAATGAGTAACAGGTGATCTGAGGTGCTTTTGATTTTTAATATTTTCATGTATTAGTAGATTTTTTGTCCTCATTTCGGGTTATTTTGTAGTCTTTTTGCATCTCTTTTTCATTAGTTTGGACATTTATTTACAGGTTGCATGTCTGTGTAGTCATTTTGTTCAGTTGGTAGTCACTTCCTGTCTCTTTTTGGTCAGAAAGGGACATCTTGTTCAGTTGGTAGTCGCTTCCTGTCTCTTTTTGGTCAGAAAGGGTCATCTTGTTCAGTTGGTAGTCACTTCCTGTCTCTTTATGGTCAGAAAGGGTCATCTTGTTCAGTTGGTAGTCACTTCCTGTCTCTTTATGGTCAGAAAGGGACATCTTGTTTAGTTGGTAGTCGCTTCCTGTCTCTTTATGGTCAGAAGGGGACATCTTGTTCAGTTGGTAGTCGTTTCCTGTCTCTTTTTGGTCAGAAAGGGACATCTTGTTCAGTTGGTAGTCGCTTCCTGTCTCTTTTTGGTCAGAAAGGGACATTTTGTTCTTTTCTTATAAAACTTCCGGGTCTGTTTTGATCATTTTGAGTGTTGTTTGTCTGCTGTGTTGTGGTCTGATGTGTGAGTCTGACCCGGTATGGCGTCCTCTGCAGGTCAGCTGATCGTAGGGGGGTGGAGCATGAGAAGGGGGCGGAGCATGAGAAGGGGGCGGAGCCTCGCAGAACCTTCTGGAAGTCTCTGACGTCCAGCAGCTCGTCCATTTCCTGTTTCAATCAGAAATACATCTTCAGACTCAAAGATCTAAAGTCTCAGTCTCCTCAAGAAGAAGGACCCTTGATGGTCCCACAGATTTACATTTTGCATTTGACCCATAGTGTTAGGAGCAGTGTAGGGAACGGGGCCTTGCTCAGGGACACCTCGGTACAATCTACTTAAGATATGAAAAGAAATAAAATAAAGGTTCCCGGACAGGAATAATACTACGTGTTCTTCGACGCACGAAATTCTTTATTATTCCGCTGGGTTACTTTGCGCCTCTTCTCCTCCCACATTCCACATCGCAGAAACTCCGTTCAAACATCAAAACGTTCAGCTCGGTCGGGAATCGATGGCTATTACTTTTCTAATTCATAACTTTCATAATTCCAGAGATACATCCCATAATTCATCACATTTTTAACATGGAAGTCAATGGAGAAATTATTCAGACTTGAACAATCTTCATGCAACTTCAACTGCTAACTGTTCATTCATACTTTCACTCAGAAACCTCATTCCAACTTTAAAATGTTACACATCTTTCTGACATTATTCGTGTAACACAACTTTTAAATCTGATTCTTACTTTTAGAGATATTAAACATTGTTCAGACCTTGGTAAAGAGGCCTTCTTCAGATGTTATAGTGCGTGATGTCACAGCTAGAGTGGAGGACAGATTTCATTTTGCCTTCATATTTTCTTTTAAACCTGCCATAATTCCCAAACCCTACATTCCTGAGACATCATTATTCATGAGAAACGTAGGAAAACATCTCGTAGCTTGAAAAATTAAAAAAAATTAAGCAAAATAATTCAACAAAATGCCTCTTGAGGGCATGAAGTAGGGCTGTGCGATTATGCCAAAAATCATAATCACGATTATTTTGGTCAATAATTGATATCACGATTATTAAAAACGATTATCCATTTACTTTGAAAACATCCATTTATTGAAAAATAAAATTGGAACAGTATGTTTTTAACAGTTGATTACCCTGAACTTAAAGTATAATTCAACAGAAAAACCAATAAAAAAAAATATTAAAAAAAATAATAATCAAATATTTTAAATTTTTTTAATAAAAATAATAATCGTTTTATTTCGATTACGTTGTTTTCGTAATCGTTGCAAGCCAAAATCGTAATCGAGATTAAAATACGATTAATTGCACAGCCCTAGCATGAAGTGACAAAAACTTTCAACATGTCTCCATTAAAGCCCATTGTAAATTCAGCCTCATCTTTCCCCACCACAGCAGCTGCACACCTTTAGTTAATCTGCCAAAAAGGCCACATTATTAACCCGAAAGTACACGAAAAGCACACTTCAGATACTCAAGTTCCTTGACATGCTTCACGCGTTGAAATGTCACCGATATCTGTTACGGTTCTTCAACAAAACGTTCACATGTAAGAGGTTTATCTCTCATTCAGAACAATGAAAATGCTCTCCTCTCACTGATCACCATGGAAACCTCTGATCTCTGGACACGTCGTTAGCTCAAATATAAACACCTGTGTAATGGAACACGATGATGTCATAGCTCCAACTGACATGCTCAGAGCAGCAGACTTCAGATAATGGTTAATGGTCCTGCCCTCAACAGCTCTACGTCAATTATGGGGTGTCTTCATATGCCGTTTCCATGGAAACGCATCCCTCGCCATAAAACACAATGTCGCTGTAGCTCCAATGGACACGGTCCGATCGTCCCTCAAAATTCGCTTATATATCACCTCTCCATGCCTCAACAGCTCTACGTCAAATCTGACATCTCACCATATGCCGTTTCCATGGAAACGCATCCCTCGCCATAAAACACGATGTTGTCGTAACGCCTATGAAAAGGGTCAAAACAGCACCAGACTTCAGATAATGGTTACCAGTCCAGCCCTCAACAGCTCTACGTCAATTATGGGGTGTTATCATATGCCGTTTCCATGGAAACGCATCCCTCGCCATAAAAGACGATGTCGCTATAACTCCTATGAAAATGTTCAAAAAGTGCTCAAACTTCACATGTGTGCTAACAGTCCAGCCGTGAAGACATCTACGGGACAGTTTTGAGATCTCTTCAATTGCCGTTGCCATGGCAACACAATGCTCACCATGAAACACGGTTTTCTCATAACTTCAGTGAAAATGCTCCAAACGGCCCAAAACTGCACGGGTTTGGTAACGATGCAGCCATCAACACATCTAAGCGTATTATGGGGTGTCATCAAATGCCGTTGGCATGACAGATCATTCGCCATCAAGTTAGTTCAAAAGTTTGCAGTCCAAATATTCTGCTGCTTTTCCAAGCCTTTTTACTTTCTTTTCTTCTCTCATCACACATTCAAGCCCCCAGTGTTCATGTATCATTTCAATCTAAATTCTTCACTTTCTTCTTACACATTACATTTCAGCATAAAGCATTCCCACTAGCAATTTCTTCAGGAATTGCATTCTCTAGTATAAACATAACATTGTGTCTCACCTGTGTGACTCCTCCTCCTGGCTCCGCCTCCTCCTGCTGAACACCTGCAGACATTAAGATATCACTTAAATTAATATAACTCCATGAGTACGACCCGAGCCCTGATCGACTCCTCCTGCACCTCCTGAACCCATCGAGATACATCTGGCTCACTTTGATTTGGTTTTGCTTCTGTGAAAATATAAAGTCAAAATCAATGATAAAATATGATTTTTTTACTGGATTTTTATCAACGAATGCTTTCTTTTGTATATAATGTGTACGTCTACTCTTTCCTCTTGAAGCCGCTGGACGGATAAAGGCTTTCTGATCTTTGATGTTCTTTACTTATTATCTTTTATTATGGGTTATATCATATGAGCTATAATATTTTATCTGAGGGCAAAGATCTGCAAAGAATAATAAAATAATAAAGAATAATAAATAGAAACCTTTAGACTGAAAGTCTGCGAGGACGTTCTCCTTCTGACTTCCTGTCTCCTCATCAGACTTCAGGCTCTGCAGAGAACACAGGGAGGTCAATGAGTGTGTGTGTGTGTGTGTGTGTGTGTGTGTGTGTGTGTGTGTGTGTGTGTGTGTGTGTGTGTGTGTGTGTGTGTGTGTGTGTGTTTTAGTCAGTCCGTTAAACTAGCAGAACTTGTTTTGAAAGAGTGTGTGCAGACAAGAGTATGACTATAGAAAACTGGAAATGTATCTGGGTGTGGTAGTGTGTGTGTGTGGTAGTGTGTGTGTGTGTGTGTGTGTGTGTGTGTGTGTGTGTGTGTGTGTGTGCAGCAGTAATGTCAACAGACCAAAATTATCTGAAGGAATTCCTGAACGGCCATTATTCCTGCTAGACTAACCATTGTGTGTGTGTGTAGTGTGTGTGTGTGTGTGTGTGTGTGTGTGTGTGTGTGTGTGTGTGTGTGTGTGTGTGTGTGGGGGCCCCGGTTGTCACGCTAAAGAGCTTAGCATGTAGAACCTCTGAAACTGAAGCTGTGACTTGAACTCTCACTGAATTCACATTCAGTTCAAAATCAAGGCATTTAAAGGGACAGCTCATCATTGATATATAAACTGCTGCACACACCACGTCACTTCAGAAGAGTTTTCTATAAAATGCTGTAAAGGGTTAGGGTTTCAGTTTGTAAACACTGAATGAAACACAGAGAGGTATTGAGCTCTCTGCACGGATAGGAGACGCTGCAGGCCCTTTGGAAAGAATCTTAAAACTCATTATGATTTCAATAGAATATAAAACGTCAGAAAAGCTTCCTGTGCAGCGTTTAAGGTCTTCATTATAAAACAGCTATTTCCATCAACTCCTGCTTTGAGTTTTAACCGGTTACCTTGGCGACACACTTCACCTCACATTGACTATATACAGTATTGATTGTCCTTCCTCCTTCTCTTCCAACCATTTGGACGCAGACTTGCATTTCCCCATAACCATGTTGTTTAACAACCGGCGTAAACGGACCTTCGCGCGCTATCAAGCAGTGAGCGTGCGATGTCCTGTTCAGATGACGTCAGATCCAACGGGATGCCATAAATCAGGGGGGTCAAACCCAAGGCCCGGGGGCCAAATCCGGCCCGTGACTTCATTTTCTGTGGCCCCACAAGAGCTTGCAAAGAATATTATATGTTTATTATACGGTTACATGATGATTAACAGAAGCACGTTGCCCATAAACTACATGTCCCACAATGCATTTCAAATTAGACTTTTTTTCTCAGAATTTGACTCTTTTTAAAAAAATGTCACTTCTTCTTTTTTATTTAGACTTTTTCTCCAGAATTTGGATTTTCTTTTTAAATCATTTTGTGTCATTCTCACTGAAGAGACTTGCAATTATTTGCCCCAGACTTCTGCTTTCAGACGTAGTTACTGATGAAGTTACTCTATCTGATAATAATCCAATGCAGAGGCAATGATGTAATGTAATACATTATTTTATATATATATTTATATATGTATTTTTATATAGTCTTAAAGTTACAACCGGCCCTGTGAGTGCAGCCCTAATGCTGATGTGGCCCGCCATCACATTGAGTTTGACGCCCCTGCCATAAATAAACTGCACAGAATCACACTGCACACCTGCAGTGATTACATTCAGGCACACTGTACAACCTCTTTGGACCATTCATATCCTGAGTGAAAACAAGATACAAAATGTAATACCTTGGAAAAGCCGTTTAATATTTTCTAATACTTTTTAATAGCCTTCATTTCGCTAAATTGATTTATCAACTTGTAATACTTTTGAAGACCCCGCGGACACCCTGAGGAGGAACAGGAGGAACAGGAGGAACAGGAGGAACAGGAGGAGGAGTAACAGCAGTCTGTTTGAACAACATGGCAGCAGCTTCTCTCACAGGACGTTTCTGAGAGGTTTCCCTTTGCACAGAAAACTAAAGAAAGAAACTGAGCGTCTCTGATCTGACAGCACATTCCTCTGCAGACCACTTCCTGAAGAACCTCCAACTCCCACTGACCACCAGAACTCCCTCCTCCTCCTCCCCCTCCTCCTCCTCCTCCCCCTCCTCCTCCTCCCCCTCCTCCTCCTCCTCCTCCCCCTCCTCCCCCTCCTCCTCCTCCTCCCCCTTCAGGTATTCACAGCAGCAACTGGAAATCTGAGACCAGTGTGTGTGTGTGTGTGTGTGTGTGTGTGTGTGTGTGTGTGTGTGTGTGTGTGTGTGTGTGTGTGTGTGTGTGTGTGTGTGTGTGTGTGTGTGTGTGTGTGTGTGTGTGTGTGTGTGTGTGTGTGTGTGTGTGTGTGTGTGTGGTGTGTGTGTGTGTGTGTGTGTGTGTGTGTGTGTGTGTGTGTGTGTGTGTGTGTGTGTGTGTGTGTGTGTCTAAACAACTGGAAATGGTAAAAATGTACAATTACCCCCAAAAGAAAAAAGTTCTTTCCTGAGATCAGTTGTGAATTCAGGAGAGTAGAAATGCTCTGAGGCGATTGAGCCAACACGAGTGGGAAGTGAATACAAATCACAATAACTGTGTTTTTATAAAAGGAACCACAGCTTTGCTTTGGATCCAGTTTGTTCTCAAAATGAACCACTTTCATTCAAAAGGAGTCAAAAAGGACGAAAGGAAATGAGCGTGGACGAAACCCTAACAGCCGTCTGTTAGAGACCTGAGCACAGCAGAGGAGGACAGCGTGATAGAGCTTAATAACAAATACATCAATACATCAATACATCAATACATCAATGCATCAATACATCGATTTTTTTGAAAAAAGTCAGAACTTTTTTAATTTTGGGAAAAATGTCAGAATTTTGAAAAAAAGTCAGAATTTTGAAAAAAAGTCAGAAAAAGTCAGAATGTTTTTGAAAAAAGTCGGAATTTTTAGATTTTGGGAAATGAAGAAAGCGAGCCTCACCTCCACACTCTCCAGAGAGGTGGAGCGCCTCAGCTTGGCTCTCCTCCCCTCCTCCTCCTCCTCCTCCTCCTCTTCAGCTCCAGACCCCTGCGCCTCCTCGTCTCTCCGCTCGGCGCTGGAGCTGCTGTCGGGGCGAGAGCGCCGGCCATAACGCTTCGAACCCTTCACCAGCTTCGGCTTCACCTCCTCAGGGACCACTGAGGACACACAGATATCTATCACAGCAGGAGGTCCACACTTTGTTCACCGAGGGCCACATACTGAAACATATACCAAGGTCTGGGCCCCCTAGAGGTGAGGTATTCTGCCTCATCAGTTAGAAGTTAGCAAAATCAATCAAATGTAGGAAAATGATGCTTGATACTTGAATATGCTTTAAAAGAAACAACAGCGCACATCCCAGCTCTCCAGAGGGCTTCATTCTGTGAGCAGCTCATCCCTCAACACAGGAACCTCAGATTGATGATGAGAGGACATATGAAGGTTTATTTTAAGCTTGTTATGGGAATAAGTTATTGGGCTTTTTTTTATCAATTAACATTTGCTTGAATTGACTGAATGGCTCATTAACACATGAATACTACTGAGTGATATGTGTTTTCATCTATATTTAAGAAGTACAAGTTTGTGAGCCATTATACGTTTTGAATTAGCTGAGGGCTGATTCAAAATGGTCTGCGGGCCGCATTTGGACCCCGGGCCGTAGTTTGGCCACCCCTGAATTACAGTAACACTGTTGTAACACCCCCACAATGTGTCTGTAATGGTTTGGATATACGATAGATAAGATTTACAATTAATATTATTTTTCACATATTCCTCTATTTTCACTAATATTTTGGGGATTTTGTTTTAACATATTTTAGCCAAAAAATTGCCAAATGTTATAAGTAAAGTGTTGAACAACGACTCGAAATATAAGTTGAATCTGAAATTTGGATCCAAAAGATTTGTGTAAGATGTCCTAAAAAAGATGTGAAAATGAACTGTAATATATGAATGACTCACAGAGAACAATGTGTAAAACATCCCCTTCAAATATATGAAAATTGTCAAAACAAATGTTGTAAAATGCAAGAAAAATGTATTATGTGTATTATTATATAAAATATTGGAAAGCTGCCCAAAAAATATATATATGTCAGAAAAAAATGAAAAATATGTGAAAACTAAAAGTACAGACAGAGACAGAAGACACATGCTGCACTCCTCACCTGGCTGCAGGTAGCTGCTGTCGTCCTCTGAGGTGCTGAAGTCCAGAGAGCGAGACAGAACGGCCACGAAGCCTTCCTTAAACTCCTCAAAGTTCACCTGACGCACAAACACAGGTGATGAGACACAGGTGATGAGACAGAGGTGAGACACAGGTGATGAGACAGAGGTGATGAGACAGAGGTGAGACACAGGTGATGAGACAGAGGTGAGAGCACAACACCCTCAGTGCATCAGAAGAGATTCAAAACAACATGACAAAGATCGGTCTGTTTATGGATTTGATACAGAACAGCTGATCCAAATAACCTCACACACACATCGCTAGACTGCGAGGGTCCTCAGAAACACACACATCAAACAAGAAGTAGATCGGAGTGTCTTAAGGTCAGAGTGTGTGTGTGTGTGTGTGTGTGTGTGTGTGTGTGTGTGTGTGTGTGTGTGTGTGGGTGTGTGTGTGTGTGTGTGTGTGTGTGTGTGTGTGTGTGTGTGTGTGTGTGTGTGTGTGTGTGTGTGTGTGTGTGTGTGTGTGTGTGTGTGTGTGTGTGTGTGTGTGTGTGTGTGTGTGTGTGTGTATGTGTGACTCTGGCTTAAGGCCGCTCCCTCAGCAGTGTCGAAAAGGGTGTGTGTGTCTGTGTGATACCCTGGCGTAGGGCGGCTCCCCGAGCAGTGTGTGTGTGTGTGTGTGTGTGTGTGTGTGTGTGTGTGTGTGTGTGTGTGTGTGTGTGTGTGTGTGTGTGAGTCTGTCTTTAGGTCAGAGTATTTGTTAGTGTGTTTTAAGGTCAGAGGGTGTGTCGGGATTAAGGAGCATGTATTGATTTGTGTTAGTCAGAGTCAGAGTGTGTGTGTGTGTGTGTGTGAGTGTGTGTGTGTGTGTGTGTGTGTGTGTGTGTGTGTGTGTGTGTGTGTGTGACTCTGGCTTAAGGCCGCTCCCTCAGCAGTGTCGAAAAGGGATGTGTGTGTCTGTGTGATACCCTGGCGTAGGGCGGCTCCCCGAGCAGTGTGTGTGTGTGTGTGTGTGTGTGTGTGTGTGTGTGTGTGTGTGTGTGTGTGTGTGTGTGTGTGTGTGTGTGTGTGTGTGTGTGTGTGTGTGTGTGTGTGTGTGTGTGTGTGTGTGTGTGTGTGTGTGTGTGTGTGTGTGTGTGTGTGTGTGTGTGTGTGTTACCCTGGCGTGGTGCCTCTCCCCCAGCAGTGTGTGTATCAGCAGAGGAAGGTGTGTGTCCAGCCTCAGTTTCCTGCAGAGCTCCGTCAGGTCGTCTCGGTCCAGGAATCCAGAGCTGGTGGAGTCACAGCTGTCAAACTCCAACTTCAGCTGAGACACGTAGTCACTGTGCTGCTCCATCACACACACCTGAGGACACACAACACACACCTGAGGACACACAACACACACCTGAGGACACACAACACACACCTGAGGACATACAACACACACCTGAGGACATACACCTGAGGACATACAACACATCACACAGGTATTTATAACGTATCTAGTTACTTACACAGCTAACAGAAATATTAAGCTTTACAAATATTTTATTTCGTTTGTCTTAAAGGGGGACATATCCTGCTGATGTTCAGGTGTATATCAGTATGTAGTGTCTCTACTTTAAAGAGTCCTCTCCTGCTGATGTTCAGGTGTATATCAGTATGTAGTGTCTCTACTTTAAAGAGTCCTCTCCTGCTGATGTTCAGGTGTATATCAGTATGTCGTGTCTCTACTTTAAAGAGTCCTCTCCTGCTGATGTTCAGGTGTATATCAGTATGTAGTGTCTCTACTTTAAAGAGTCCTCTCCTGCTGATGTTCAGGTGTATATCAGTATGTAGTGTCTCTACTTTAAAGAGTCCTCTCCTGCTGATGTTCAGGTGTATATCAGTATGTAGTGTCTCTACTTTAAAGAGTCCTCTCCTGCTGATGTTCAGGTGTATATCAGTATGTAGTGTCTCTACTTTAAAGAGTCCTCTCCTGCTGATGTTCAGGTGTATATCAGTATGTAGTGTCTCTACTTTAAAGAGTCCTCTCCTGCTGATGTCAGGTGTATATCAGTATGTAGTGTCTCTACTTTAAAGAGTCCTCTCCTGCTGATGTTCAGGTGTATATCAGTATGTAGTGTCTCTACTTTAAAGAGTCCTCTCCTGCTGATGTTCAGGTGTATATCAGTATGTAGTGTCTCTACTTTAAAGAGTCCTCTCCTGCTGATGTTCAGGTGTATATCAGTATGTAGTGTCTCTACTTTAAAGAGTCCTCTCCTGCTGATGTTCAGGTGTATATCAGTATGTAGTGTCTCTACTTTAAAGAGTCCTCTCCTGCTGATGTTCAGGTGTATATCAGTATGTAGTGGTCTCTACTTTAAAGAGTCCTCTCCTGCTGATGTTCAGGTGTATATCAGTATGTAGTGTCTCTACTTTAAAGAGTCCTCTCCTGCTGATGTTCAGGTGTATATCAGTATGTAGTGTCTCTACTTTAAAGAGTCCTCTCCTGCTGATGTTCAGGTGTATATCAGTATGTAGTGTCTCTACTTTAAAGAGTCCTCTCCTGCTGATGTTCAGGTGTATATCAGTATGTAGTGTCTCTACTTTAAAGAGTCCTCTCCTGCTGATGTTCAGGTGTATATCAGTATGTAGTGTCTCTACTTTAAAGAGTCCTCTCCTGCTGATGTTCAGGTGTATATCAGTATGTAGTGTCTCTACTTTAAAGAGTCCTCTCCTGCTGATGTTCAGGTGTATATCAGTATGTAGTGTCTCTACTTTAAAGAGTCCTCTCCTGCTGATGTTCAGGTGTATATCAGTATGTAGTGTCTCTACTTTAAAGAGTCCTCTCCTGCTGATGTTCAGGTGTATATCAGTATGTAGTGTCTCTACTTTAAAGAGTCCTCTCCTGCTGATGTTCAGGTGTATATCAGTATGTAGTGTCTCTACTTTAAAGAGTCCTCTCCTGCTGATGTTCAGGTGTATATCAGTATGTAGTGTCTCTACTTTAAAGAGTCCTCTCCTGCTGATGTTCAGGTGTATATCAGTATGTAGTGTCTCTACTTTAAAGAGTCCTCTCCTGCTGATGTTCAGGTGTATATCAGTATGTAGTGTCTCTACTTTAAAGAGTCCTCTCCTGCTGATGTCAGGTGTATATCAGTATGTAGTGTCTCTACTTTAAAGAGTCCTCTCCTGCTGATGTTCAGGTGTATATCAGTATGTAGTGTCTCTACTTTAAAGAGTCCTCTCCTGCTGATGTTCAGGTGTATATCAGTATGTAGTGTCTCTACTTTAAAGAGTCCTCTCCTGCTGATGTTCAGGTGTATATCAGTATGTAGTGTCTCTACTTTAAAGAGTCCTCTCCTGCTGATGTTCAGGTGTATATCAGTATGTAGTGTCTCTACTTTAAAGAGTCCTCTCCTGCTGATGTTCAGGTGTATATCAGTATGTAGTGTCTCTACTTTAAAGAGTCCTCTCCTGCTGATGTTCAGGTGTATATCAGTATGTAGTGTCTCTACTTTAAAGAGTCCTCTCCTGCTGATGTTCAGGTGTATATCAGTATGTAGTGTCTCTACTTTAAAGAGTCCTCTCCTGCTGATGTTCAGGTGTATATCAGTATGTAGTGTCTCTACTTTAAAGAGTCCTCTCCTGCTGATGTTCAGGTGTATATCAGTATGTAGTGTCTCTACTTTAAAGAGTCCTCTCCTGCTGATGTTCAGGTGTATATCAGTATGTAGTGTCTCTACTTTAAAGAGTCCTCTCCTGCTGATGTTCAGGTGTATATCAGTATGTAGTGTCTCTACTTTAAAGAGTCCTCTCCTGCTGATGTTCAGGTGTATATCAGTATGTCGTGTCTCTACTTTAAAGAGTCCTCTCCTGCTGATGTTCAGGTGTATATCAGTATGTAGTGTCTCTACTTTAAAGAGTCCTCTCCTGCTGATGTTCAGGTGTATATCAGTATGTAGTGTCTCTACTTTAAAGAGTCCTCTCCTGCTGATGTTCAGGTGTATATCAGTATGTAGTGTCTCTACTTTAAAGAGTCCTCTCCTGCTGATGTTCAGGTGTATATCAGTATGTAGTGTCTCTACTTTAAAGAGTCCTCTCCTGCTGATGTCCAGGTGTATATCAGTATGTAGTGTCTCTACTTTAAAGAGTCCTCTCCTGCTGATGTTCAGGTGTATATCAGTATGTAGTGTCTCTACTTTAAAGAGTCCTCTCCTGCTGATGTCAGGTGTATATCAGTATGTAGTGTCTCTACTTTAAAGAGTCCTCTCCTGCTGATGTTCAGGTGTATATCAGTATGTAGTGTCTCTACTTTAAAGAGTCCTCTCCTGCTGATGTTCAGGTGTATATCAGTATGTAGTGTCTCTACTTTAAAGAGTCCTCTCCTGCTGATGTTCAGGTGTATATCAGTATGTAGTGTCTCTACTTTAAAGAGTTCCTCTCCTGCTGATGTTCAGGTGTATATCAGTATGTAGTGTCTCTACTTTAAAGAGTCCTCTCCTGCTGATGTTCAGGTGTATATCAGTATGTCGTGTCTCTACTTTAAAGAGTCCTCTCCTGCTGATGTTCAGGTGTATATCAGTATGTAGTGTCTCTACTTTAAAGAGTCCTCTCCTGCTGATGTTCAGGTGTATATCAGTATGTAGTGTCTCTACTTTAAAGAGTCCTCTCCTGCTGATGTTCAGGTGTATATCAGTATGTAGTGTCTCTACTTTAAAGAGTCCTCTCCTGCTGATGTCCAGGTGTATATCAGTATGTAGTGTCTCTACTTTAAAGAGTCCTCTCCTGCTGATGTCCAGGTGTATATCAGTATGTAGTGTCTCTACTTTAAAGAGTCCTCTCCTGCTGATGTTCAGGTGTATATCAGTATGTAGTGTCTCTACTTTAAAGAGTCCTCTCCTGCTGATGTTCAGGTGTATATCAGTATGTAGTGTCTCTACTTTAAAGAGTCCTCTCCTGCTGATGTTCAGGTGTATATCAGTATGTAGTGTCTCTACTTTAAAGAGTCCTCTCCTGCTGATGTTCAGGTGTATATCAGTATGTAGTGTCTCTACTTTAAAGAGTCCTCTCCTGCTGATGTTCAGGTGTATATCAGTATGTAGTGTCTCTACTTTAAAGAGTCCTCTCCTGCTGATGTTCAGGTGTATATCAGTATGTAGTGTCTCTACTTTAAAGAGTCCTCTCCTGCTGATGTTCAGGTGTATATCAGTATGTAGTGTCTCTACTTTAAAGAGTCCTCTCCTGATGATGTTCAGGTGTATATCAGTATGTAGTGTCTCTACTTTAAAGAGTCCTCTCCTGCTGATGTTCAGGTGTATATCAGTATGTAGTGTCTCTACTTTAAAGAGTCCTCTCCTGCTGATGTTCAGGTGTATATCAGTATGTAGTGTCTCTACTTTAAAGAGTCCTCTCCTGCTGATGTTCAGGTGTATATCAGTATGTAGTGTCTCTACTTTAAAGAGTCCTCTCCTGCTGATGTTCAGGTGTATATCAGTATGTAGTGTCTCTACTTTAAAGAGTCCTCTCCTGCTGATGTTCAGGTGTATATCAGTATGTCGTGTCTCTACTTTAAAGAGTCCTCTCCTGCTGATGTTCAGGTGTATATCAGTATGTAGTGTCTCTACTTTAAAGAGTCCTCTCCTGCTGATGTTCAGGTGTATATCAGTATGTAGTGTCTCTACTTTAAAGAGTCCTCTCCTGCTGATGTTCAGGTGTATATCAGTATGTAGTGTCTCTACTTTAAAGAGTCCTCTCCTGCTGATGTTCAGGTGTATATCAGTATGTAGTGTCTCTACTTTAAAGAGTCCTCTCCTGCTGATGTCCAGGTGTATATCAGTATGTAGTGTCTCTACTGTAAAGAGTCCTTTTAAAAGCTGAAAGTACCTCCAGTTTTGGTTTGTATACAATAATAATCTGAATATGTTTTGATCTTTGTCCGTCCTCCAAAACACGCCTACACTGCACATTAAATTAATAATATATTCATGTACAGTACTGCCATATTCTTTCTTTGTCTGACTTTAGATTTTAAATCTGAATATTTTATGAGTGCAGCACTACAGTAAAAGTCTCATAAATTATGAAATAAAAAATAAATTATTAATTATACAATTATAAATAATTCTTCATAATGAGTATTTTTACTTTTGGTACTTGAAGTATTTAATGATTGTGAGTCTTCGTAATATAGGATTATTGAAAAGTACCTCGTTTTTAATAATAATAATGACATTTTATTTATAAAGCACTTTTCATGGAACTCAAAGACACTTTACGTGTTAAAATTCATAGAAAACAACACACTAAAAATATATAAAACACAACACACTAAAAATACAGATGAAAAGCAGTTGGTGAGATTTAATCAATAATATTATATAAATAACGTTAAAACTGTCACTGTTTTACAGATAATGATATTATGGATTTTTTAAATACAGTTAATTTTATTTTCAGGGAAATATAATCCATAAAAAGAGATGGGACTCCAGACCTACATTTTATACATTTTTACTAAGAATTTAAACAATATATTAGCAAAAACATTATGGATAAAAAGGCGCATTGTGTATTTATCATGTATTTATATATTAAATATGAAATGTGAAACTGTATTTCTATGTATTTAATACTTTACATGTCTACCTCTGATTTGAGCCTTATGTTATATAAGATAAAGGATGTAGGCCTACTTATATATTCTTAAATAAATAAATAAAACATTTTAAAAAGTGGAAGAAATGTGGTTTAAAAAATAACGGTTGTCAGTTGACGTCACGTAAATAAACACTAAACGTGCTACGTAAAGTCTCGCGAGCTGATGAAGCTTCACCATGGGAACGGTGCCGCGAGGAACAAAAGGCTCGCGCCAGACTAACCACAACACACACACAAAATAAAATAAATAAAATACATTTAAAAGTATTTACATATGAACGGGAAACGGCTCCGCTACTAACGGAAACTTTAACGACTTAAGAAAAAGTTAACGGTAACTGATTATAAGTTAGTTTTCTTACCGCGGATGAAAGTGCTCCTCCTCTCCGGTTCCTCTCCGGTTTCTTCACGTTTTATCCATGAATGTGTCTCTTCAGCTGCGGACAGTCCACCGTTAAACCACCGAGAGACACCGAGAGTAACGGAGCACCGACTCCCGTAGCCTGAGAGCACCGGAGACACACTTCCGGTCAAGCTTTTCAAAAATAAAATGCTACCCGCCAGACCTGTGCTTGTTATAACCTTCGCAGGTACAGTATGCAACATGTCTTTATTTAACTTAACGTTAAGATTATATTAGCAAGCAACAGAATTAAGTATAAACAATTAAGGGAAGTTACGAATACATTATTTTGCTAGGTTTAGCAACATATTTGAAGTAACTCTTATTTTGAAAAGATAAAAGCATCTTTTCCGGTCTTTCCTTTGTCTCTATGGCAACTTGACGACGCCGTGAGAGAGACCTGCCACTAGAGGGCGCTGCTACACTCAGATATAACTATAAATTATTCATTTAAAAATACAGATAAGGTGTGTCAATTAATGATTATAATATTAATGATAATCATAATAAATACAGAATAATAATTATAATAATATATATAATATAATAAATCAAGGTTTGTTTGTTTTTTGTCATATTTTTGACCGATGATAATAAATATAAAAATAATATACTTTGCAAAACAAATCCCAAAATGTAGAGAAATAACAAAAACAAGATGTTTTAAAGTAAATCTATATTTTAAAATGTTAAAGAGTTTAAATGTGGTTATATATCCATTTTTGTTAATACAAAAAAATATACAGTTTTTTTCTGAATAATTTATTTCAGTAACATATAATGTCATTTCAATAAGTTTTAACATTAATAATAAATTACATGTCCTGTACATAAAGAATAAACAGCCATTGAATGAACTTAAAATCTGGTATTTATTGCAATAATTAATGGAGCAAAACATACGAAATAATGATAATAAAAATAAGATAAACAATAACATAAAAAGATAAAAAATGTTAAGGATAAATATATTTGTATGTAAGACTTGTGTATTTTCCTGCAGCACCTGAACGCACCAGGAGTTGAGCCCGCCCCCAGAGAGCTGTGATTGGCGGAGAGACGTCACATCATCAGGAACCAAGACGCCGAGAAGAAGCAGGAAAAGAAAATCATAACAATATTAATAATCTGAATATTACCTGAGATCAAATACCCTTTCTACCTGCAGCAGGTGAGTTCACCTCCAGTCTGTGATAGTCACGTGACTGACAACAGCTGATTGTTGATTAAAGCAAAAATGGAGAGGAAAAAGGGGGCGTTAAAAGTGAAGGAAGCCAGAGTTCAGAAACTTTGAGAGGTTATCCTGAAGAGCAGAAGCCTTTATTAACTTTAATAAAACCATCATAACGTCAGAGTCATTTTTAAATATAATCAGTGTTGGTGGTGAGATGAAGGGTTGAAGTT